ATCCTTTTATCATTTTGTACTTCCTTCTAGATATTTTCTTCTGACCTATCTTCCACTTCACCACTTCTCTGGCTGTATTTAATCCACTTTTAAACCTATTTGTTAACTTTTTAATATTTATTATACCATTTAGTTGTAAAATTCCTATTTGGATTATTTTATGACCTCTAGTGATCTCCTCTCCTGAAATTTTCAATCCTATGTATTATTTCCTTAAACATTTCAAGCATAGTTTAAATTCATATCTGACATGTTGAGTGGTCTCCAGGCTAAGAATGGTTTTTACATTTCTAAAAGGTTGTAAAAAATAGAAGAAGAATAAGGTACAACAGAAACTGTATGTGGCCCACAAAACATAACATATTTACTATCTGGCATTTTACATAACACGTTTGCTGATCCCTGATCTAGATTCTTTGTGGGTCTGTTTCTATTGTTTTAGTGATATTGTCTTATCTGTGCCTTTGCTTGGTTATTTTTGATGTGGTGCTGGACATTATACATAAAAAATTATAGAGTCAATTTGAAGCTAAGTTGATACTAACTTCCCGCAGAGAAGATTAAATTTGCTTCCAGCAGGCAAGTAAAGGCACTAGTAATCTTGAATCACCTTTATCCAATTAGGTTGAGTTGATTAATAGGTGAGTTTTGGTCTGTCTGAGGGATGCTTGGTTTCTGGTTCACTTTTATAGTGCTTTAAAGCTCCAAACCAAACCCTGCGGATTTACCAGGCATCCCCTTCTTAGTGTGCCCTGACAGCCGAGTCTGTTGAAATACCTACTCAGCTTGCTCATTTCTCAACTGCCTGTCAGCTGGCAGGTATCTGCATCTATTGGAATTGGCAGATACCTGTAGGGAATAGTGACTCTAATTTTTCATCTTCCTATTTGCTAATCTGCCATGTTAATAATCTGTGATTTTATAAATATTTTTATATGTCTGGTGTTTTATTTATGTATATTTATATTTTTTCCTAGTTAGTCTATATCTCAGTAGGAAGGTTGGTTCAAATTATTTTACCTAGCATTATTAGAACTGTAACTCTCCCTTATATTTTCTTTGCCTATGAATAGTGAAATGTTTGTTTTCTACAATTTTTTTCACTTTTGCATTTTTATATTTTTATTTCAGATAGCCTCATTATTTCCCATGTATATTGTGGGATACATTGAGCCAAGCAAGTTTCAGAAGATCATTTATATGAACATGGTAACA